AACAGCGAATAAAAAAATCCACGACAGTTGTGTGTGTATGTGTGTTAGAAATAAATTGGATGGTTTCTTGTGATATTTTTTGACCGCCCTAATTTGTATGACATAAAAGACTTGGGTGTGGTTTGGTTCGTTGGAATCCATTGAAATTAGAAGTAATTGGAATTTAATTCAATCATTTTCCTTTCTTTGGTTCAAGCTTTCAACAGAAATTGGATTCCTAAATGAGTCAAATTTTCCTACCAACGAAGGAAAATAAATTCCATCCAAAAACTTAAAGAATTAAATTTCCTTTCAAGCGAGAATATTGAATGTTATCATATTATCCATTTTACTTTTAACACTACATATGAAACCCATCTGTAGCAACCACCACCACCATCACCTCAACCGGTACCGCTACCCACCATCACCACCACTGGTACCTCTGTTACCACCACCCTCCACCCACTAGCACCGTCACCTCCACCACCATCGACCACTGCCACCGTTACCCACCACCGATATCACCACCTCCACCACAACCATCACCACCTCCACCACCACACATCACCGACGTCACCACTCGCTACACACCACCTCTACCATCACCCACCACCGCCACCACCACCCACCACCACCACCTATACCACCAAACTACCTTCCACCTCCACCACCACTCACCACCGAGACCATACCATCACTGCCACCATTACCGCCATCACCTCCGTCACCACCACCAACACCTTCGCCACCACCATTGTTACTATCATAATTACCACCTCCACCACTACACCACACACCACCTCCGCCACTACTCACCATCACAATTTGATTCAAACATAATATGGAATTTGATTCAAATTTCATTCCTGCCAACCAAACAGAATATGGAATTTGATTGCAATTCCTGACAGATTCCAATTTTTTAATAGATTCTAATTCCTTCAAAAACATTATGCGAACCAAACGTCACCTTTATTTTTAGTGACATTTTTTTATTATTATGTCAATAATAAATATGAATATCACTGATATAAAATATTAAGGATTATAAAACCATTAAACTTTATAGTCATATACAATATATATGTTATAAAAAATTATGTCTTGTTTGTAATGATAAAATATTATTATTTAATTTGTTGTGTTTTAAGTCGAAATTATACTTAATAATGGTTTCATTATGATATAATATGTATGTTCAAAAATATAGTTAATAAAAGACAATATAATTATTATATGGTAATTATGTTTTTAGTATTATATTTTGTGCCATTTTGAAGGCTAATAAATGCATAAAGGATAAAGTGTATAATCTAAATATATAATTAAGTGTTAGGAAAAATAAGAGGTTGATGAAACCCAAAAATAATTGATACACACCAACAGTAATAACCTTATGAAAATTAATAACAATGAATTAATTGTTTTAAAAAGTATATTTTTTGAAATATAAATTTGTAAAATTTTGATGTGCACACAACACATAAACAATATAAGTTTACTTAAAAATGAGTCAAAACTACCATGTTTTTTTTATTATAATACACATTAATTTTACCATAAAATTTTATTGCTATTATTGAATAAGCCTACAAAGATATCATCTTCAATATGGTCTTAGTGGTTATCGTATAGTATGAAACAATTCAAATTTAATGGAATTATATTTGAGTAGCATAAATTTCAATCTTAAGATTATTTCCCTTAAAAAAAATATCTAAAAGACTATTTAAAACGTCAATATGGATATCATAAAAACTAGTAAAGAACCCGCGGCTACGCCGCTTTTAGGGTAATATGGAAAAAATCGGCCAACTTTAAAAAATATGTGCTGAATTGTAAATCACCATAAATAGGGGAGAAAGTCGACAACCCCTAAAATTAGATGTCAAAAGTGTACAACGAAAAGAAGGGACATTGGTGGAGAAAATCCAAAAATGTTGTGGCAATAATGTTAAAGTTGTCAAAGTTGGGAAAATATGGTGGCAAAATTTTAAAGGAAGTTTTCTGTGTTTTTTATGTCAAAATGTAAAAGTTTTGACTACAAGGACGAAAATTGTCAAATTCATTAAAGATTTGTGGCAAAAACACGAAAATGTAAAACCTTTGACTGCAAGGACTAAAAGTGTCAAAGTGATTAAAGATTTGTGGCAAAAACCTTAAGGCAGGAAAACTTTATTACAAGGCAAAAATGTAAAAATTTTGACTTTAGGGACTAAAAGTGTGAAATTCAGTAAACTTTGTGGCAAAAACCTAAAGCCTAAAAAGGTACTATTCCTAAGCTCCTTTGGATTTAATATATACTAGCAAAGAACTCGCGGCTACGCCGCTTTTGGGGTAATATGGAGAAAATCGGCAAACTTTAAAAAATACGTGCTGAAAGTGTAAATCACCGCAAATAGGAGAGAAAGTCGACAACTCCTAAAATTAGATGTTCAAAGTGTACGACAACCAAAATAAGGGACACTGGTGGAGAAAATCCAAAAATGTTGTGGCAATAATGTAAAAGTTGCCAAAGTTGAGAAAATATGATGGCAAAATTCTAAAGGAGGTTTTTTGTGTTTTTTATGTCAAAATGTAAAAGTTTTGACTATAAGGACGAAAAGTGTCAATTTCATTAAAGATTTGTGGCAAAAACACCAAAATATAAAACTTTTCACAGGACGAAAAGTGTCAAATTTACTAAAGATTTGTGGCAAAACCCTAAAAGCATAAAAACTTAATCAAAACACAAAATTGTAAAAGTTTTCACTTTAAGGACTAAAAGTATCAAATTTACTAAACATTTGTGGCAAAAACCTAAAGACATAAAAGTTACTATTGCTAACTTCCTTTAGATTTAATATATATATAGAATATATATAATGTTTTTTAATCAAATTGTATTTTAAAAGACGTACTTTAAAGTTAACATATATTATTAGTTTATTAGTTTATGTCACAAGTTATAGTCAATTAAAAGTTTCATTTGTTAAATGTGAATTTGTATTTCGGGTAATTAGTTCTCGTAAATAAATTTAAATAAATTATATCAGAATTAAGTGTTCTTTTTTAAAAAAAAAATCAATTAACTAAAAACGATAAATTGTGAAGATTTGAATAATACTTATTTTTTAAAACATGGGTTATGGCCAATGCTCTAAAAAGTTCGTCATGATTTCTTAATGGCGTATCATAGCTCCAATGTTTGTACTTGTCGTCAAACTTTGACAAAATATCGTTTTAAGACACATATGTATATAAAAATAAATAATTAATAGTTTAGGGATAATGACTTAAAAAGGTAATATATTTTTTGATTTGTACACATTTGGTCACTGAGTTTTTTTTTCGTCCACATTTACCCCTTCAACTTGTTAAACTGTATACATTCAGTCCTTATGACCGGCTACTCCAGGTTACCCGGTAAAAATGACTTAATAGGGTAATATATTTCTCACTTTGTACACATTTAGTCCTTAATATTTTTGTACACATTTAGTCTTTTTTTTTTTTTTTTTTTTTTTTTTTTTTTTTTGCATTTTTTTTGTACTCATTCAGTACTTATGAATGATTTTTTAGTTTTTTCTCACAAAATCTTACGTGGGACATTCATTAATGAGGTGTATGGGGTTTTTGATGCTTATATCCATCACGATCTCGACTACTTGGTTGCTTAGGTCATGTGTTCTGAACGTCATAACTTCTTCATATAATCTCGGATTTCAACGATCTTTATATCCATACGTTCGTATTTTAGTCTACTACAACTTTCATTTAGATTATTCCCATTAAAAAATAATATATTTTTACTTACGATTTTTATATCCATACGCGGTGGCGGATTTAGTATGGTCCTGGTGTTGCACCGACAACACCTGTTTTTTCTGTTCGCAGTGGAAAATTTTTCGCTTTTTTTTTTTTTTTACGTTTATACCTATTTTCCATGTATCGACAACACCTATTTCATCTCGGCAACACCTACTATGTATTACTGCGTCTTCCCCTGTCTATACGTTTTTTATGAATGCATGTATGTATGTTTTTTTTATAAAATCGTTAGTAAAAATATATTACATTTTAACGGGAGTAATCTTAATGAAAGTTGTAGTAAACTCAAAAAATGAACACGTGGATAAAGATCATTAAAATCTGATATCGTATGAAGAAGTTACGATGTTCAAAATACAAGACCTAAGCCAAACCACAAGACTTACGCAACCAAGCAGTCGAGATCGCATTGGACATAAGCATCAACAACCCCAAGCACCTCATCAATGATTGTCTCACGTAAGATGTCGTGAAAAAAACCTAAAGAAATCATTCATAAGTACAAAAAAGGACTTATTTTGAAACAAAAAAAAATGTTAAGGACTAAATATGTACAAAAATATTAAGGACTAAATGTGTACAAAATTAAAAATATATTACCCTATCAAGTCATTTTTCCCGGCTAACCTGAAGTAACAGGTCATAAGGACTAAATGTGTACAGTTTAACAAGTTTAAGGGGTAAATGTGGACGGAAAAAAACTCTGTGAACAAATGTATACAAATTGAATAATATGTTACCCTTTTAAGTCATTATCCCTATATATAATTGTCGCATTAAGTACTGTTTTACAAACGAACGAGCCATGACTCAAAAAAGCTTTAATATTGACATTGCCGACAAATTATGTCTTACGCACTATAATTATGACAGATTAAGTAAATAAAATAAAGAGAGAGTATCATCGTCATAACTCATCACTACATATTACATAAAGATTGATTCCCAAGTTTCTTTTCTTAATCTCTCTCATACTTTCTTCATTCTCTTCACACCTCCTCTCTCTCTCTCTCTCTCTCTCTCTCTCTCTCTCTCTCTCTCTCTCTCTCTCTCTCTCTCTCTCTCTCTCTCTCGATTTTGTGTCAGAAACAAAGTACAACATATAATTTCCTTTCAGTTTTGTACTTCCTCGTTGTGTCAGAGGAAAATCTTTCATCTTCTTTTTGCCCTTATTTCCAAATAACCCTAATTCCGTAAGTCGATTCAGAATGTCTGCACCTCAACCCACATCCAAAAACCGTACCTCTCTCAAGATCCATCTCGCTTATCGATTCCTTCTTGCTTTAAACACCCTCAACATGAAAAGATCAGCTTTTGACCACACCCAGAACCATAAAAGGTCTCACCGTGTAAAGATTGCAGCCTACGCATCAATGGCGTCTGTGGTTGGACCAAGAAGAGCTTGGAGCCGTGCGATTTTATGGAAGATCAGAAACCAAGGTGTGTTAACAAGAAACAAGAAGAGGGTTCATCATATAACTACTAGTCTTCGCCTTCATCGACATCATGCACGACCTACAAGGAGAAGAAACCCTAATAGAGAACATGTTAACCCGTTTGGGAATTCGGGTCTAGAAGTGAAGCTAAGGAAGCTTGTACCTGGTGCTGAAACGATGGATCCATGCGGATTGTTGGATGAAACTGCTGATTACATAAAGCATCTGGCCACGCAGGTCGAAGTCATGAAAACTCTGGTAGATCTCTACTCCACCATTTGAATATATACACACAAAAAGATAAATATATATACACACACATATGTAAATTAATCGATATATCTATACATACATATATACGCGATCAATAGAACTTGTGTATGTATGATAATATGTCATATTGAGAAGATTGCGAAGAAGAATATGTGGAGGTGGTTTAAGTTTTTGATTATCTTTTCTATGAAGAATTTATAGCTCAAATATATATGCAGAATAAAGTGATCCCAAGTTGGTCTTGCTTTTTTTTTTTGTGTGTTTTTGTAAATATTTATAAAAATCTATGCTTTAATTTGAAATTTTTGTGTTAATTGTTACGTACACTTCAGTTTGTGGAAATCAATCTAGAACTTACATAGAAATTATGTATGGCTTCAAGGATAGTTTCGTCTAATAACTTATCAATGAAAATGTTGGTTTCAGTTTTAAAGTGTTGAACTTGAATTTCTTAATTAGAGTTCCAAAAGGTCGAAGAATTCTGGCTTTATTAATAACCAATTAATGGACGCTTTTAATTTGATTATCGTGTCCTCTGGTTGCTCTGATATGACTTTGTTGCGCATCCATCTACATATCATTAGAATTGATTAAGGCTAATTATTCATGGAAGGTGCACCTAATTTATCTTATCTTATCTTTAAATATCTTTAAAAGCAATTTATGTTTAATACAGAACTCCATCTCTCTCGAAACCTTGTTTTATTTTTCATAGATATTTGTAATACAACATCGGTTCTAATCCGATAGTAACCAGAAAAGTTATATAGTCATATATAATACATATAATGACGTGTGATGATTGGATATAATTGTGAGTTAAAAGATCTTCTTAACTAATAATGCAATTATCTTCATATTATTTCATTGAAAGTAAGGATTGATATACAAATTAATCGGGGTTTCCATCAATTTTAAATCAAGTCCCATGTGAATAGCGTCTTTGTCTTGGTATATAATCAAATCAATTATTTGTTTATTTCTTATAAATCTTCACCTCTTGTACCGAATTCCTTTTCCAATCTATTCCTTCAATCTATTTTTGAGTGATATCGTTCTAGAAAATAGTCTTGATTTCGACCATTTCACCAATCTGATATTTATAGATTTTTTTATCATGTTTTTAGCATTCGTGGTGTTGACGTTATGTGTCATCGCATCTATTTCAGACAAAATAAATAACTTTTTAAATAAACGTATCTATCGTTCGTACAAAAACAGTTTGTAAGCTAATATTTCTTGAAAGGTATTTTTCCAATTGTTAAAATGGTATGTTTTTCAATACACAGTGATTTTGTTTTGTTTTGTTTTGTTTTTTTTTTTCTTCTGTATATGGTTGTTTCTTATAGAATATTGTTCCTTCGATACTCTTACAAGATCAACAATAATATTATCGATTTTATGGAAACTTCTTAATTAATTTTGCCTTTTAACTAAGTGTATGGTCTAAAAACGAAATAAATTGGTACATGAAAGAGGAGGCGGGGCCGTGGGGGAGGGTTATGGTATAGATTCTTAAAACAAGTGGCTTACTTTAGAACCATGTGGAATCGCCAAATAATGATGTATCGTATACATACATAAATCCATCTCTCTCTCTCTCTCTCTCTCTCTCTCTCTCTCTCTCTCTCTCTCCGCGCGCGCCAAATAATGATGTATCGTATACATACATAAATCCATCTCTCTCTCTCTCTCTCTCTCTCTCTCTCTCTCTCCTCTCTCTCTCTCTCTCTCTCCTCTCCTCCCTCTCTCTCTCTCCTCTCTCTCTCTCTCTCCTCTCCCCAATCTGGCTCTCCTCGCTCTCTCTATCTCTCAATGGGTTTTAGAGCGATAGAAATTTATAAAAAAAAAAAATTCAATATATCGAAATTTATATAATTTTTTTTAATCCATAAATATACATTAATATTGATATATAACTTTTTTTTTAAAATTTCAAATAAACTTCATGTTATCTAACATTGTAAATTTGAACACTACTAAATTTATATTTTAAAGAATAATTTACATATGTTAATGGTTATTATATATATATATATATATATATATATCTATATATATATATATATATATATATATATATATATAAATTTTTTGATAGATTAATATACAATGTGAATGTCGATCGTGTATAAAAACTATATAACATCTATAGATTTTTTAGCCTACATGATTGCCAATTGCATTTTAATGATACATATGAATGATAAATATCGATGTGAATAATCGTTAACCTAGATATATCAAATTTATATATGAATTGGAATAAATATTCACATTCATAAGAGAATTTAAGTATATTCACATGTGAATCTTTTATGCTATTTCAACCTTGATCTTACACCGATGAAATTATTCTGATTTGTAAATGAATTTACTCAACTTTACATGTGAGTGATCAAAAAATTATTGAAAAAAATTAGGTATAATGGTTATGTTCATGTTAATTGTTGAAAAAACATTGTATGTTGGATTGATATTTAGAATGGAAAGCTTGTTGTTTGTCCATACACAGGGGATTAATAACTATCGGTTTGTCAAGTTCTTCGCATTTAGAAGGGTGTGGTAAAGAATTAACTCTCTCACTGTATGCATTAGTATACCTCTTTGTGGAGAACAATGGTACAATCTAAGAGTAACATTGCGATTTACCTAAGAAAATGCAAGTAACCATCATGTGACCACAAGGTAAACATGTGTTGGTGATTTTAGTATCACCGATTCATTTTATGTAATGAGATTCATACATGTTTCAAAGGGGATTATGTCTTAGTTTTAATACAAGGTTGGAGGTGTGTAGTGCACACTTGTATTAGTCTAGATTGATCCTGATACGACTAAAATAGCGGATGTCAAGGGGGTCGTGCGAGTGTCACAATGTAATTATGCATGGTTATGTATTTCATAATTGTCTATCCAAATCAGGAGTTATCAGATGAAACAACCCGTTTTTGAGACATATAAAAATTCACACGCACTCTCTGGTTCTTGATCGATCTTCTGTGTATAGAACATCGATTGTTATTTTGAGGATTATCCTGGGTCGAATTTCTCATAACCCAGGAATAAGGGAGAAATATTGATTCAGAAAGTGAACCAATACGATCCTTGAAGAATCCAATGATTATCGTATTATGTTTCTACCCTATTTTCTAAAAAAATGTGCATTGCTATTTTTCAATACCTACATGTACATGTATGTTCTTGTAAATAAACGATAACATTCTTGCAATAGTTTTGTACTTAAAATAATTCTTGAAAAAGTATTGTACTTCAAATTCCTATTTTGAGATTGGTAACACTTTCTGTGTAAAACTTTCATATTTTCTTCGGTCAATTAGTTCTCAGCCGATGGGGTGATTCCGTGTTGAATATTTGCTACAACATATATAGAAGACTTGGTTATATTTAAAAATATGTTGAGTAACTAATGTATGATACTTACCTACCTTATTTCTATGTTCGAAATACCATTGTTATATAGTTTTCTAGAAAAGTCCCATAAGCATGGTTATTTGTAGTTTTTGTTGAGTCGTATACAACAAATTCATTGACTCCCCATTGTTCGAAGTCATATAACCATAATGAACCCCAAGGAAGCAAGATCTTGCCCATTTTTCGTTCCCAAAACACTCAATCCAATCACATATTTCTGGTAAAACACATTGTATCATGACCATGTGATATTCAAAGTCCTCGCTCAACGCTATGCATGTATCCTAATATATGATTTTGTGTATTATTATTTTCCTTACATTTCGAACGTATATTCATTACCATATTCTGAAAATATAACCCATAATATGCATTTAGGAACACATACTGAGCAACATGTTTTATTGATTTATCTTTATCACATATGATGACCAAGCCTTCCAAATTACTGATAGCTCTGTGGAGTTTTGATAAAAACGAATTCCATGATTTCATATTCTCCATCTTGCCCAATCCATAAGTCAGTGGGTAATTTTGGGTTTTTCCATCCATGACTACCAATAGGAACTATGTTCCCTATACTTCCTTTTCAAGTATGCATCCTTTATAACGAGTACAAATAATATATACTGAAACTTGATTTTTAGGGTTCACATACGATGTTTATGTCGTAATAACTATAAATCTTTCCACCTAACCAAGTGCAACAAAGAATAACTTAATCTGACATTGTGTGTTTGTCGTGATGTATGTTATTGTGCCTTCATTTGCTTTCTTTAGACCATGACAAGAAGTAAGAAGTTGCACGAACGAGTTTTTCAGTGTCTCCTGTAAAAAATTTCAAAGCCTCACGCTTCACATGACAAGCTCGAGTGTAAGAAATATCCATTCTAAATCGAACATTTCTATCTCAAATAAAATTTCTCCTACGGAATGCCTTCTCAAACACCCCTTGATAAGGTAGTTTTAAAAAGAATTATAAAATAATATACGTTTACATCATAAAGGTTTTAACTTCAAAATTTGTAGAAATTACAATCCCATTACAGTTTCAAAATACTTCAAAATATAATAATGCAGAATTACGTCCTATAGTCTCAAAATAAATTGACTTATTTGAAAGAGCAAGGTAGTATCCAAATCAATATCACAACATATTTCAAGTTCTTACCACACAATAGTGGACTTCTAAAATGTCATAGGTACATTCTAAGAAACGCATAATGTAACGTCCCAAAAATAAGACCCAAAAATTTCATTTTTAAATTAATAAAACAAGTATCACAAAACATCATCATAAAAATCCAGATAAAACAAATGTATAATCATCATATCACATCAGAGTAAATCAAGAAAATGCGGAACGAGGTGGTGTGTGCTCTGCAATCATCCCGGGCTCTTCCCTTTGAAAACAGAAGTAACTGAAACATAAACTGATAACCGTAAGCACAAAACTTAGTGAGTTCCCCAAAATACCACATACCAAACATAAATTTGACATGGTCTACCCCCATATTCTTTTCCCTGAAATGTCATGGGCTACCCCCATGGTCTTTCCTTGAAATGCCATGGGC